TCCGATGAATTCGTTTGCAGGAGATCTGAGAGAAGATGATTTTAAATTGTGATCATGAATTGTCCCTAGTTAAATTAGAAATTAAATGACCGTTACGCTATGGTTTTAGGATAAAGCACCTGATTTTTATAAAGCAAACAAACTTAATTATGTATCTCTTAAAAATATTTTAATTGGTAGAGATACCTTTTAAATTATTTATGTTCCAACATTTGCAAAGCTCTGATTAGCTCTGTGCAAGTGTTCTGATGTCTGTGACGTTTCCCACCCCCTCCTTCTAATTTTCAATTTGTCTTTTACTTTATTGGTAATAAATGATCTGAAAACCATCGTATAGGGACGTCTCTTTATTTTTCATTCAAAGCTTTTCAGTGTTTATTATGGTATTTACTTAGTAATAAATACATAATATATCCTGCCAATCCCAGCTCCCCTCTTGTTTCTCTTATATCATGTGTTGCTGTTGTTTACATATGCTAGGAAGGCGTTTCCTATATAAAACTGTGCATTTAAAAAAAAAAAAAAAAAACAACACCAAAGGTTGTGGTTTTACCAGTTTAGTAAGACACTTGAAAAAGTGCCTTGAAGACAGCTGAAAATCCTCTCTGGTATGTATTTGAGTCTTTCGTCTGGTACAGTTTTATTTTTAAAGAGAGTTTCTGGTATGGATTTCAGCATATCCTGCAAGTGAAGCACTTGCCCTTTTCAAATATAACAAGTATTTAACCAGACAGGAATTTCTGTTTAATTTTAGTTAAAAATGTAGATGCTCAAATGCTACTTTAGTAAATAGAGCATAAAAATAAGACTAGAATGTGTTATGCATTAAACTTTATAAAAACAAAATAGGTGGTTACAACTATTGTTTCGAGATAAATGCTGTAGTGTTTTTTCTGGATATTTAATCTGTTTTTTAAACCCTTCCGAATTTGCAGGCATGCTGATTTTGTTAGTATATCTGGCAGAGGAGAAATGGATGCAATTGAACATCAGTTAATTAATTCATAATGGGATTTTTTGCTTACTTTTTATTGTTCATCTGGTTATCTGCTTGCAAAAGCTCTAGATTTGCATGTAATGACATTATTGGAATCTAGGGAGCTTTGAAGCTATTCTAAAGCATGCCGCTGCTCCTGCGAAAGTCTGTGCAAGCATTTGAGTATCGTGCCGTGTTTAAAGTATTAAACAGGAGAAAAGCCATATATAAACGTCAATTGCTGTATAAAAGACAGTCCATTTGAAGAGCCATTAAGAAAAAAACTTTTAAAAAATCAGAACAGTATCTTTCAGGAGGGCTTCAGGAAAAATTTTCTCTCCTTTCAGATGTGCCATCCAACTTCCAGATACTTCCTTTAGTGTGGCCTGGGCTGTTTTCCTTTAGTGTTGTAGTAATGCTCTGCATGAAAGATGTTCATTTACTATGGGAAGTTGAAGTAGGGGGTACAAGGCAGCTTACTCCTTGATGTGATTTTTAATTCATGTTGGCCAAATAGGTTTCTAGTTAGTGCACACCATGACAAGGATGACCCTGTTGTTACAGATACGCTCCATTTTCCTTGTATCTATGCTGTGCTTCTCCAGAATGTCAAATCTGAGGGTCTGATACAATTAATTTTTATAACAAAATAAAATACTGTACCTAACAGTTAGATCACAAGCCAGGAGACGAGGGCTGGTTTCCAATCCCGATTTTGCAGCTCGCTCAGTTTCGAGTAGCAGGTAAGTTTGTGTGCCTGCAAGTCCTTTTAGCCTCCAAAGAAGGTACCCGCTCATTCAGCTGCCCACGCTCAGTTTCCCCATCTGCCATGAGGGCCGTGCTTGCTGGTTTCAGGACCAGCAATTCATGATGTGATTTACCTGAAAAGCTCAGGTGTAATGCAGCGAGTATTATTTTGAAATAAACTAATAGCAATAACTAGGGATGCTCCAGGACAAATAGGCAGTATTGAAAGGAGCACTTTTAATTGCTGAAGTAGTCTGAGTTGCATCCATATTTTAACTAACAGGTTGCTTTGTTTTTAAAATACAAATGTCCTGCTCCCCACGCAGATATAAGACGGTGAGTAATCAGTACTAAACTACAGATCTTCTTGAGAGATTTTGAGTGACACTACTGGTTGCACTTCGGAGGCTGTGCTAGCTCGAGCATCCAGGACCAGTTCACGCTTGCTCCTCTGGAAAATAACTGCAGCAATCTTCTTTACATACCGTGTGATCGCTGCTTGTGCACAACACCCTGTGATGAAGTAATGGGGAATGCCTGACAGTTGGGCATGGCTCAGCGAGCAAATGTTGCTGGATATACAATTCGTACCGTTTCCTTCTGTTCATCTTATAGATACGCAGCCTTTCTTCCTCTGCTACAGGATCTTCAAGAACCCCGTCCCATCGAAGGCTTTCGTTAAGCTGAGCAGAAAGACCTTGATCTGTTTGACTAGGGTCCAAAACGGTGGAAGCCAATACTGCAACCTTGTTTATTTCTGCATCCTTCTGATTCTCTTCTGCATTAATTTGGGCTGAGTCAGGGTTCCTCCCAGGACTTGGGATTTCAAGCGATGGAGGGGAGCGGGCCTGCTGCTTTCTGCTTTTGTGGTGGTGTTTATCTGTTAAAATGATAAGCGCTGTTAGCAAAAATGTATGCATTGCCTCCAAGGCTTTCCTGCTTATTTCATAAAGAGGATGATGAGACAAGTGCTTGCTGTGCCTTTACATGCCCGTTAATAAGACACCAAATCTATAAGAAAATATAAATGGCCTAAAAAAATCTTATTTTTAAGTGGGAAATATATATT